TCTCTCTCTCTCTCTCTCTCTCTCTCTCTCTCTCTCTCTCTCTCTCTCTCTCTCTCTCTCTCTCTCTCTCTGTGTGTGTGTGTGTGTGTGTGACAAGAAAGAAGAAAGAAGAAGAAGAAGACGAAGAGGGTGAGGAAAAGGGAAGTCGAAGAGGAAGAAAAAGAAGGCGAAGAAAGAAGGGGGAGGAAAGGGGCAGATGGTTGGGTCGCTGGGGAGGAGGGTGTGTTCTGCGTTACATAAACAAACGCCTACCTCCTCCTTGGATTCGTCGTGGCGATGATCCACAACCCCGTCGGCCTTCTGCTGCCGAGCGGAGAAAACCAGTGAGCGATTTGCGCCCAGATCAGTCCCCACTGGTCCCGCAGCCTCCGGGAACACCGATGTTCGAATTCAAACTTAGGACCAATCTTGGCCGTCGATCCCCAAGAGCCAAGATTGGGCCTTCGTTTGTATGAGCCAAATTGGGGCCCTGCGCCTATCTTGCTCAGGGCTCCGCAGCTCGCGGTCTCTCTCTCTCTCTCTCTCTCTCTCTCTCTCTCTCTCTCTCTCTCTCTCTCTCTCTCAGTTTTCACTTCGAATAGAACACATGCATCGGATTCAATACAATGCATATGTTGTCTATTTAGATTTCGAAAAGAAAAAACTCTTTGTATTCGAATAGAACATTACCTTTTTTTTTTTTAAGGGTTAGTGCCTGCCCTTGTGCTCCTTGTCACTGACATGCTGCATGCTGCTACTCTCTCTCTCTCTCTCTCTCTCTCTCTCTCTCTCTCTCACACACACACACACACACACACACACAAAATCAGTTTGTGTATGTCTTACTCTGTGTTCTCTGTGTCACACAAAATCAGTTTGTGTATGTCTTACTCTGTGTTCTCTGTGTCACACAAAATCAGTTTGTGTATGTCTTACTCTGTGTTCTGTGTGTCTTTCTTCCTTTGATTTTTTCTAAGCACTTTTGCATGTCTAAGTGAGCACCCTTATGCAGTGCCAAACAGTGGTCATTCATTGTTTGGAGTGCCTACAACCCCTTCGCTTCATGTTGGATGTGTAGACTGCCTTGTCTGCGCTCCACCGCAGCCTTGCTGCCCGTCCCGCTTGCTTTGCATGTCGTCCTCACTGCTCTGCTGCCTTGCCGCCTGTGATGCGCAAACCTCACACCCGCACGCCGTTCCATACCTGTGAACGCTGATCAGAGTAATTGGGGGTGTGGCCGAGGATTTTTGGCCTGTGGGGTTGAATCGCCCGGGCGGAACGGGGGATTCTTGTTTCGTACCGAGGTGTTTTCCTCTTGGGTTCGAACCACCGTCGAGGGCAAGGGACAGAGAGAAAGATTATTCTGGAGCGACCATCAACGAAAACCCATAAGAGAAACAGAAAGAAAAAGGAAAAGATAAGGAAGCGGAATTTTGTCGCTCCCTTTGGCGCCAGTAGTATGGATTCCGTACGTCTGGGCCTAAGTCCTCCTCCGTGCAAGCACAGATTCAAACCGGTGACTTCGGCCTCAAGAGCCAAGTCTCTTAACCACTACAGCCAGGACACTGTGTTCAAAAGTGGAATCGTACCGGTCGTGATATCCACCCCACCCCTGCAAGGCTGTAGTGTCCAACTCAACACACACCACACACAACACACACGGACACGGCAATTCTCGTACACTTCGCTCTGTAGTCAGCACGTAACCCCCGCTGGTACTCTTACCCGCTCACACAAACGGGACTTGTCAATGCCCGTCGGTTCACGGGCGCTTCCACAGTAGTATGGATTCCGTACGTCTGGCGCTGGTTCGCGCGAACTCTATGGCGGTCACTCAAGAATATGGAAATTTCAGGCCTCGTTGTCAGATTCGTCAAGCCCGCGCGGGCGTCCTAGCGCGGTGTCACCAAATGTCGGGTAACCCAGCTTCGAAAGTTAGTCGGGAGCGCCCTCGCGTTGCGGGAGAGTTCTTGGAACCGGGCCACACCTTCGTAACCCATGACTAGTCTTCGCCAGGAACACGAATCCCTCTGGCGACACCAGCGGTAGTTAAACTGAGGCCGCCACGTTGTCAGGCGGCCACAAGTAGTACGCCGCCTGAAAATGGCGGTTTTGGGACTTAGGCTCAAGGGCGAGTCCGTGTTTTTACGGTACTTTGGTCTGACCGGGCAGCAGAAATTATGAGAACTCAGGGTGTCCCTGATTTTGGGCGCACTGGATTTTAAGAGTAACCCTCAAAGATGGCGAGATGGATGGCCACCCCCGACGCATCT